CCTATTGCCAAACTTACTCTTATCTTGCCAGATGAAGTGAATGAAATGCAACATGTAGCTTTTTACCGTCAATCAAATGTGACGAATGAAGGTATGTCGTTTTCTTATTTATCATATATATGATACTTTTATTGATATAGATCAGTTAGATGAGAGAGACATGTATGATATGTAAAAATATTATATTTTCAAAGTTAAAAGTATTTATTGACTAGTGTTAGTTTAAGAATCATTACGTTAGTCTGTTTTTAAATACAGAATAAAAATATATAATATGAAAAGATCTTACTAATCTTCAACGTCAAATCCTTTCAAAACCTTTTGCTGATAGAATATTATATAGTACAGATATATGAAATTTAGTAGTAATGATAAACATAAGAATTGTGATTAAAAAGGAGATAAGTTTTTGGCATGATTGTTTTCGACTAGAATGTTAAGAATAATATGACAACTGAGTTTAACATAGTTTAGTATATTAGGTTTTAGATACTTTTTTTTTGAAATATTTATTTGATTCTGAACATAGAGTTATATCAATATCGATGGTAATTTTCTTATCTTATAGTAATCTAATTATAGCATCATCAACTATGTTTTTGTAAACACCAATTAAAACATCAACATATTTTAGTACCGCTAACTTATTTTTTAATTAAGATTAGACACTGTTCAAGTGCAAATCGCTTCTTTACACTATAGTTTGACGCTTATTAAGCGAATATATATTTATAATTCTAAACCAAACTAACTTATTTTAGAAAAAAAGTTTTTTGAAATATATGATGGTAAATATAAGAATATAATAAACAGAAAACTATTCGACGTTTCGATAACTTAAGTATCATACACGAAAAAGTAAAAATCAGTGCCTATAACACAACATTAATATTTAATTGATTGTCTTTCTTTCACTTTATTTAGTAATACGAAAAATGAATTAAAAGTAGACTTCACTTAAAACTATTATCAGTCTTAAAATCAATTATGTGTTTATACTTTGTAAAATTAGCTACCTTAATTTACGATACATGTTTCAGACAATTTTTATTTAAAGAGGTGTAGATATGAAGAAATTATAGACTATGCAATTAATTATTCAGAGCTGTTAAGACATTATAAAAAATGTATACTAATTTCTAATCCCATCGTATTTTAAATATTACTTTTTTTAATATTCAACATTAATTCACAGATTGTTTTTCAAACGGTGAGCCGTGAAATTCTCTTTAAGATATGTAGTAAATCTTTTATTCGAGAATACAAAAGTGAAATATTGCATAAAAATATACGAAATTCTCAATTTTCAACAACAAATCTTTTCTTCTGTTCTTTGATTTTCTGAGACAAAAGATTAATTAAATCATCTTATAATAGTTGAAAAATTCTAGCTTTCAGTCATATTTTCAACTCTTCTGCAGTCGAACATACATACGTTTCCAGTTAGTATTTTTTATTACTGAGCAGCGTTAAAACATGAAAAGTGAAAAATGTAGAGTGAAGTTTCTCATGTAACTTTTTGTTTTTCTAATTTGTGAATGATACGCTCATTACATGATTCTCCCAACTTTGGTCGACAGTAAAAATGTCGAAGTATAAAAAGATTGAACGAAAAATATCGAAAATAAAATGTCGAAGTATAAAGATGTCGAAATATAAAAATATCGAAGTAACAAATGCCGAAGTATAAAAATGTCGAAGTATAAGAATATAGAAGGATAGAAATATCGAAGAAAAAAAGTCGAAACATGAAAATGATAAGATTTTGGGTGTTCGAAACAACTTAATGGTAAAAATAAAGAAAGACGTTTGAGAGTGGGTGTGAGTATCAGCGTAAATATAAACATTCATCTATATTTAGCCAAACCCACATTCACACAGTCCCCTACACCAACACCTTCACCGTCACCCACATCCTCACCCTCACCCACACCCTCACCCACATCCACACCCTCACCCACATCCACACCCACACCCTCACCCTCACCCTCACCCTCACCCACATCCACACCAACACCCTAACCCACACCCACACCCACACCCACCCTTCGACATTTTTATATTTCGACTAATTTCAAATTCCGCATTTCTACCCTTCGATATTTTAATATTTCGACTATTTTCAATTCGATATTCTTACATTCGACATTTGTCTAATTTTTTTTCGACATTTTTACCTTTCGATCTTTATATACTTCGACATTTTAGTTTTTCGACCAAAGTTGGGATTACCCATTACATATTCTGTAGAGAATCTGTGTTAATACTAAACATAAAGAAGTTATATTAGAAATGAACGGAATCAAAACTTACTATTTATCAGAGATTCATATGTAAAAATTTTGTGCTTTTAAGTACTAGAGATGATGAATATTTGAAATAGTAATATCAGTTGAATCATATAATTAAATAAAGAGAGCAACTGAATAAGAAGCTAGATAAATTCTGAAGAAACATCTGTTGATTGGTGAAGCTAGGTCGATTTCTATAAGTTACGTTGTTATAGCACCAGCATCATTTGCACAAGCTCGTATCTGGCTTGATCAACGAATTCGATTCGATCCCGACAAGCCTCAAATAGCAATCTATAATATGCCTTTTGTTTATCGTCTGCAACCAGGTCATACTTTATCGATTAAACAACTTCATCAGGCTCTTCATCTTACTGTCAACAAACATCCTTCACTTCATACATCACTTCATTTTGACATCCAAAAGAATCTACTTATGCAACGAGTTATTGCTCATGAACAAAAAAATAATAATAATAATTTGTTTTCAATCAACGAAACTATTTATGAAACAGATGAACAATTGAATGAGATTTTACACGATGAGGAACGTAATCCTCATCTTTTTGATCTTGCTCATGGTCTTGTCTTTCGATGTCATCTTGCTTATTACAAACAAATCTCTTCAAATCATCTTCTTTCTCACAACGATCTACTTATCTTCAACTTTCATCATGCTTTGTTTGACTTTCCATCGATGGAAGTATTTCTCAATGATCTTAACCAAGCATACAAAACAGGTCAATTATTATATGATGACGACACTAATCTTCGTTATCTTGATTGTAAATATAAATACTACTTCTGCTTTTCTCCTTTCTAATACCTTATCTTCTTCACTTATGTAGATGCTGTTATTGAACAACAAATGTCAATGACTGGTGCAAGTATGTTTTGGCTTGATGCTCTTCATGACTGTAAACTCGATCAGTCTTTGTCATTACCATTTGATCGATATCGTCTCTCAAATGAACATCGAACTGGTCGTGGAACATCTATTTCTTTTGATTTTGGCCAAGATCTCTCACATGACTTTCTTCTCCATGCATCATCAAATAACATATCACCCGAACATCTCACATTTGCTATTTATTTCATCTTTCTATTTAAACTAACTAATGGACAAACAGATCTATGTCTTGCTATGAACATCAATAATAAACGATATAGAGATGAATTTAACTCTATCATTGGACTGTTTGAGAATGTTGTGCCATTACGATGTCAGTTAAATCCACATTGGTGTTCTCATCAACTACTCGAACACGTTCAAGAGATAACAACCAGTAGTATGAAATATTCATATTTTCCACTTCAATGTATTTTTGATCAACATCCACATATTTCCAAACATGCGTTTTTGGATACATCTCTGGAATTTATATCATACAAGAATAATAATTCAGTGATGATTGGTGATTCTCAACTTATTCCAGGATCTTTCTTATTCAACGATAATGAAGTAGAAATACTAAGTGCATCCGACTTCTCTCTTTCTATTTATCATGATTTGAATATGGATCAAGTGTCATGCACAATCCATGCATCACTTGACTTGTTCAATAGAAAGACAGTGGAGAAGATTTCGCAACGATTTCATTCCATCTTACATCAATTATTTACATCTATGATTTATAATCAAATAAACAAACCTATCTACAAATTATCATTAATGTTATCAAATGAACAATATCTAATGCAATCATTGAATAATACACAAATATCATTTTCATCTCCTCTCACTTGTATTCATCATGAGTTTGTATATCAAGCAATGAAACGTCCACAAAAACTAGCAGTTGAACTTGATGAACAATCCTTGACATATTGTGAACTTTTGTATTATGTTCAGGTGTTATCTTTAACTCTTATCAATGAATATCATGTGTTTTCAGGTGAAATCGTGTGTCAGTGTGTTGAGCGAAGTTTGTCAATGGTAAGTTGGTTATGAGAAATAACTATTGATGTGAGTTTGAGATTGATTTTGATTAGGTGATTGGTATTATGGGAATTCAAATGGCTGGTGGTGTTTATTGCCCATTATCACCTCGAGACCCACAACATCGTTTATATGCACTTACACAACAAACACAAAGTCGTCTTGTACTTGTTCATTATTTAACAAAGATTAAATTCGATGATGATATTATTTCACTTGATATTGATTCAATATTAAATATTAATGAGATACATAAGAAAGGTCTTTCAAGTGTGATAGTGAAAGGTGAAGAGATAGCATACATTATTTTCACTAGTGGTTCAACTGGAACACCTAAAGCAGTTCGCTTTTACTTGATTTTCAAATATCTGATTTATTTTCATGCTCTTTCATAGGTTCAAGTTCGACATAAGAACTTTATTGATTGTATGCATTCTTTGATTTATATTAACTCATTTAATAAAGATGATACAGTTGTACAAATGACGCGATGTTCATTTGATATTCATGTTCAAGAAATACTTGGTACATTGTTAGTTGGAGGCACATTAGTTATGCTTCATCCAAGTGGAACGATTGATTTTGATTATTTATCTGCAGTCTTAAAGAACAAACAGATCACATATCTACACACTGTTCCCAGTTTACTACATAGTTTCTTTACGTTTGCCGTGCACAATAACAATCCGAATGTCTTGAAACAGCTTCGATCACTTTGCAGCAGTGGTGAGTGATTTTCAAAGGAATTTGGTTTCGTTTATGCAGAGTCTGTTAATTATTTTAGGTGAACCTTTTTCTGTTCCCTTAATTGGTTTGATTGTGAAAATTAGTATAACAGACTGTATTCTATGGAATTTGTACGGTCCAGCAGAAGCAACCATAGGCTCTACAATTCATTGTGTGAATGTTACAAATGATATACAGAGCATTCCAATTGGTAGACCATTTTACAATTACCGATGTATGATTATGAATAAAGATTTACAACCATCTGTTACCGGCCAAGACGGTGAGCTGCTAGTGGGAGGCGCAGGTGTTTTTGCTGGTTATCTTGGACGTGATGACTTGACAGCAAAAGCTCTTCTTGAAATAGATGGTCAACTATTTTATCGAACAGGTGATCTTGTTAGAATGGATAGCAATGGTTTTCTTCATTATCAAGGAAGAAAAGATCATCAAATCAAACTTCATGGACAACGAATTGAACTTGGTGAAATCGAACGATGTTTACTTAACACTATATCTATCTCTGCTTGTGTTGTCATGAAATGGAATGATGACCATCTGGTTGCTTATGTTCAATCTTCTTCTCATATCAATGAAGAAGAACTACGTGAACATTGTCGATCTCATCTTCCACCACATATGATACCATCAATATTTATTATTCTTTATAGATTCCCATTGAATCCAAATGGAAAAATAGATCGAAAACTTCTACCGCCTCCTGATTTTTCATCGTCAACTTATGATCGTGATGACAATCTTTCGCACACTGCTTTAGAAGAACAGTTACAAGATATATTTAGTCAAGCTTTCCATATTGAATCTCCTCATGTTGAAGTTGCTTTCGGTCAACTTGGTGGCACGTCACTGGGTGCTATTCTTGCACTGACACTGATTCGTCGGAAGATTTGTAATAAAGTTGACATTGGTCTTTTGCTTAATAATCCATCTATTCGACAATTGGCTCAAGCTATAGAACCTTTATTCGCTTTCGAAGAACTCCAAGAGACAGATTGCACAGTCAATGAATTTCATGAAACGCATGATCGTCTGACACCTTCATTTGTCATAGAATCTTTAGGTATTGTACTTCTTGTTTGTCAATGGTTGTGTCCGATTATACTAATTCATCAATGGTGTCCACTTCTTTTTCCTATCTTACCAATATGTCATCTTCTATTATATGCCATATGTTCCCGTCTGCTTTCACTGCAAAACATCAAAGGTGACAATATTTTCTCCTGGAGTTATTATCGATGGTGGTTTTTAGATCGACTATGGAATAATAATACATTTTGGCTACAACATATACTTGGTACACCTTTGTACAATTACTATCTTCGTCTTTGTGGTGCTCGAGTTAGTCGTACTGCACATATTTATACCGTTACTATTGATGCTCCATGGTTATTATATATTAGTGAGGAAACTTGGATTGCTGATAAAACGACTCTAAACTCTTTTTATTTCAATGATAATGATACTTTTGCACTACACTCAATTAAAATTGGTTGCTATTGTTCAATTAGTGTCCGTTCGATTCTGTTTGGTGGAGTTGATATGCAAGATAATATTATTATTCAGCCTAATTCATCAGTCACTGGTTTCATCGCGTCCCGAACGATTATCGATGGTGACGAACATAAATCGGTTTCATCAGACATTTCGATCACACATAGTAGCAGATCATTATCAAAATGGCACAGGATCTATCAAGTTATTACAATCATCTCACTCATCTGTATTCATTATACAGTCTTAGCCATTGCCTACAGAGTTTATTCAGTTGAACAAATACCGCTACCGATTAGTATTGCTTTTTGCTGGACTTTGTGGTCAGTTATTGCTTGCTTTGTTACTCTCTTTCTCTTAAAATTCGTAGTCGGTTCTTGTACTGCTGGTGAATCATATCCAATGGCATCATGGTCATATTTACATAAAGTGTGGCTTCGTCAATTAATTGTATCTAGTTTTCACCATGCCTGGTTACTACCAACTGGGTATGATTATCTTTATCCTTTTATTCTCCGTTGGCTAGGTGCTCAAGTTGGAGATGATGTCAAACTTGCTAAGATAGACATCTTCTTGTCCTATCCAACTAATTTATTAAAACTGGAAACAGGAGTTACTAGTTTTGGTGACGTGTTAATATCTCCTACTGAAATAACGCTTTCAGGTGATCATCGTGTAGATTGGATAATACTTGGATCTCATACAAATCTTGGAAATGACTGTACAATTATGCCTGGTAGCTGTCTTGCATCTCAAACTATAGTTGGTACTTTAACGCGTACCACTCGAGAAACGACTAGCAATAATGGAGATGTTTTAATTGGTGTTCCAGCTCGTGCGATGCCATTTCAGATGCCCTTTAGACAAGCAACAGAAGATCAAATTAAAACTATTCCATTTTGGAAAACTTGTTTTTCTCACTATATTAGTAAATGTCTTCTCATAGGTATCTATCTGTCATGTAGTCTTGTTAGTGGATCAATCATTCATACAATAATTGTTTGCAGTTTCTATCGATGGTCTTCATATGTAGACAATAAAATAATCAAACAGATAATAGGAAAACTAGAAGAAGATCACCGAATATTTATCTGTTCATTTCTTGGCAGTACGCAATGGCTAATTCGGTTCTTTCGAGCATGTGGTGCAACCATAGGCAACAATGTGATCTTGCCCGATGTTTCTTCTATTTTTGATTATAATTTGGTGACTATTGGACATAATGTTCGACTTCATATTAATGCTCATATTTCGGTAACATATTCATTTCTTGTCTATGGCGTATATATATATATTATTGTTCTCTGCAATTATTGTAGGGTCACACTTTTGAACAGCGTATTTGGAAAACAGCTCCTGTTACAGTAGGCAACTCGTGTATAATTATGAGTGGCTCGGAGGTTATGTCGGGCTGTAACTTAATGGGTAACAATCGACTTTATCCGTTTACGCTCGTAATGAAAAATGATTTATTGCAACCGAACACACAATGGAAAGGAGTTCCTGCACGTAAGTTATTTAGACAGATGAAGCTATGCTCACTTGTATTTTATAATACTATTAAGATGTTAGGTAATATTCTGCAAATTTCATTTTGCTCATGGTGATTTCTGAATATTTCTTTATCTACATTATTAAAAACATGACTTTCATGATGGTTTCTAAATACCTTGTAATGATATATCTTTATTTGACTTTTATATGATTTATTCTGCGCCTCAGAATGAAAAGAAAAAGCCTGAATGAATAAGTCATTTTCGATTATTGATGGCAAGTGACTAAGAATATTATTTGATCGATATGATACACCATATAAAATAGCTTTTCTTCTCATTAACTCTTCAATTAATCATTATCTATAACATAATCAATACACTTTTGTCGTCTTTTGCTCTTTGCTACTGATACATATCAAATTTTAATGTATTTTTCTACTAGATTTGACTCTAAACTATCTATTCAAATCTTATCAATTAGAGATTCGTACTGCATATCGATGAAAAAAATTTGTCGAATTTCTTCGTAACATGAAACTAATCGATAGCGCATATGTTCTTTCTTAGAAAATTTATTAACTTATCCCGATATTCTCATTGTCGTCACTTTTATTCCAAATATCCTAAACATAGTACACTCTAGACGCGATGAAAATTAGACTTCTGTTATTATAGGCTTTGATTAAACTGAACAGTATTCCAATGAAATCCGAAAATCTAGGATCTACATGTTATACGATCTGATAAGGTTGTGTATTTGTTGTATTTCTCTACAATTACAAAATTATATCGTACACTTTTCTTTTCATTCTTTGAAAGTAATATCATTCAAAGTTACACTGATGATCATGTCATACGATACATATATGCATCATTTTATTGTATTGAATTTCTTTCTTTTAGAATCTTATACAGCGAAATCAATATTATCTCGATCTGCACCCGTTTGTGATGATGTCGTCAAATGTCAACAGAAATCTGAGAACTTTGATCGACTGTCTTTGTGGTATAAAAAAATGTCAAGTATCTATACGAATGTCAATGAACTACAATTTATGAATTGGGGTTATGCAGATTTGGATGAACATAGTGATGACAATACTGGTTACTATTCGAAGAAACTTTATCAACAAGTAAGTGAAGACGAATGAAAGAATCAAATACATTTGAGTTGAAATATTTCTGATATAGTATCATAGATTAACTTTTCACGTCTGAATTGATTAATATGAATCTTACTCATACCATAGTTTTAGTTACTTTATCATAAGTATTCGACAAGTGATAGATAATGAATTAATCCAGACCGAAGAATCCTTGTGATGTTTTCAAAGTTTTCATTTATAACTCGCTAACACGAATAGTTCAAAATGAACTAATCACGATTTTAGTTGTGGCAATATCAACATAAGATTTAAATCTCTTCATCAAAAATATACTTGAGAATGTGTAGAACTACTAGGCCCATCTTAAGCTACTTTTGTATTTCTGAAAAAAAGTGAACAGTGAATGAAAGAGAGAATGTTAAATGCCTTAGCAATCATTATTAGAATATTTTATTTTTTATTCTAGGTTCTTGCTAATATAACACTTACAGATCAAAACATACTCGAAGTAGGTTGTGGTAGAGGTGCTGGTGCTGCCTGGTGTGTTCGTACGTATGCTCCTTGCTCTTATGTTGGAATAGATCCTTCGCAAGATGTTATTAACCTATGTGAAAAATATTATTCAACAATTCCTCGACTCTCATTTATGATAGCTGATCCAAAAACTTATTTGTCATTTCAAAATGAGTCAACAGATGTTGTTATTTCAATTGAAACAACAAACATTTTTGATGAAATAGTAGCAGTGAAGCAATTCGTCAATGAAATTACTCGTGTGCTTACTCCTAATGGATATTTTCTCTGGTGTGGCTTGTGTAATGTAGATGGTTCAAGTGTATTGATTGATTATTTAACAGCAAACGATGCATTTATTATTAAAGAGAAGGTCAATATTACAAGAAATGTTCTTCATGCACTTGACATTCAAAATAACTCACGTACTGACTTTATTGACCGTTATATTCAACCTGCAAATCAAGAATATTATCGTCTATTGGCTGGATTACCTGGTACTCAACTTTATAATAATATGCAACAAGGACGAGCAGAATATTGGCGAATCGTATTCCACAAGAAGTGACAAAAAAGACACTTCATATTTGACACTAGATGTTGACTTCACATTACTAACATTTTTTCTTTTTTAAACTAACCCAAATATTTATGCTTATTAGTTAGCGGTATTTTACTCTAATTTTTTTTCAGTACCTTCCTTTTCTTGATAATAAATAATCATAAAGTAATTACTGTAGAATATTTTGCGAGAGTGTAGATGTGAGATCAATATATAGTCTGCACAACATCATAGATCAGGCGGATTTTTTCATTTAGATTATGATTCGCTCTAAAAGAACGAACTATTGTTAGAAAAACAAAAAATAATTCATCGTCACAGTCAGGTACTAATGTCTGGATAATTATCTTAAGTACATTGGGTATTTTTAGCAGAGTGTCAAAAGACAACTACTATTTATTTAGACTAAAATAATGTCTGTATTTGCGCAATTTGTTTGGTTGTTACCTTAGGGTTACAAAAATTTGATTGGCAAATAGAACAAGAAAACAGGTTTTTGCTTTGATAAAAGAACTTCGAATCTTTCTTCAATCTCCGTATTTGAAGATCTTCTGATAATGTGGGTGTGGGGTGTGGATAAAGAAGAGATGAACCCACACCCACATCCACCCTTTATTTCTATACAGTCATACTTTTTCAAGGTATTAGTGTCATTGATAAATTAATAACACATCTGGGATTATTTGAGCAGTTGTAAATAACTTTAGTAGAACCTTAAGTTTCAATATTTCATTATATTTCGGTAGCTGTATTTGTCTATTATAATAATCTTCTAGAACGATATGAGAGAATAACTGGATTTCTTTATACTAATTTTCATTAAAAACACTAACAAGAAAAATTGAAGATTATTTTTTTTAAATATGTCTTAAATAATATTTTCACAAATTTGTCTGTTCGTTAGAATCCTTGTTTAATCCATTTTTCGTTAAATCGAACATATTTTATTGTTTGTCTATCATATGTATATACTAAATGTATATCATTATCATCCGGAGCAGTCCATGAAGTTTGTATTAAAGATGGATATGAATATTCTCCAATATATGTCGTATTATCATCAGCATGAATTTGAATAGTTCTTTTATATGGCCAAGTCAACCCATTGTCGTACGAAAGTGCAATGGTTAACGGTGATCTTGGTTGTTGTGTTCCATTAAGATTATTAAATGTCATAAGAACAGCTCCATTTTTTAATGTATAACCTTCAATTCCAGCATCATTATTTGGTAGAGATGTTACTTTTGGTAGTGACCATGTTGAGCCATCATCATTACTATCAGAATAATATATTGATTGAGCATTTCTATCACGAAAAAAACTTCGCAATTGTGGAGAATTATTTAAACGAATAATCGATGGTTGAATAAGGTTATTAGTCAATGGTAAATTAATACGTGTCCATGATGAATTGATAAATGATGATCGAAGTATAAATGAATAACCAGAATTTGTTGTGGTATTATAACATGGAAACAATACACCATCGTTGTTCATTGTTGGAATAATACGATTACGATCAAATGAACCTGATATAGTATAGAAAGGTGCAGCAGTTGACCATGTCGCACCTAACAAACAACAACATATTTGATAAAAGAGCAAGCAAAAGAGTTTAGTTACCTTGATCTTTGCTTTGTACGTGCCATATTTGTGAATTTGTTTCACCTGCATTACCTAATTGTGATGAATGATATAAATGTAATATTTGTGCTTGATTATCCCAAAAAAGAACTGGATTTTGATTTGAATAATTTGCACGTTCACTAACAATAACACCTGGTGTAAATTGTTGTGAATCAATATGTAAAAGTGAAAGTGCAATAGAACAATTAGGTTCGTTTTCACCTCCAGTAAACCAAGCAATAGCTAAAGTTCCAGATGGTGTCATTTGTTCAATGAATGATGCATGATTGCCTGTTTTTGGTGGCGATAAATATGCATAAGAAGTACCATCTGTTGATCGATGAATAATTCCATCAAATGGAATTATAGCATTTAATAATCTCAAATATATAAATAACGATAATAATATTGGTAAGAGCATTTTCTTTTTTTGTCTTTCTATCAATCTTT